TTTTTTTTGTTTCTTTAATACAAATTTTGTGATTCGGCTTAACTAGCATTTTTTTTTTCATTTTTAATATTTTCTTTTTCATGAAACTTTAAGCTTGCTTAAGAAATTGAAGAAATATATATGTATAATGATATATAAATGTATATATACATATATATTTATAAATAAATATATATATATATATACATGAATATTGGGGAGAGTTTACAATATTCAAGCGGATAACGATAATAATCCACACAACTTATTTAATGCATTCTAAACTTTCCGAACTCAAGTTTTCTGTTGTAAAGTTAAAACTTTGATTAATTATTCTAAAATTAGTATTGCCAACTAGCAAGCTAACTTAACTTTTAGCTTGCTCAAATACAAAAAAAAAAAAAATCAAATTAATTAATAAACTAAAACCAATTTGCAATTTGGTCTAGGCTTAACAATGTTTTTTGGGCGAATAATGTAAGCTTCCGCGTGTTAATTTGCCTTCCTTGAAATTGGCTCAAAATTGGTTAAAAATAAAAAAAAAATAAATCGTTATTAAATTTGGTGTCTAGTTGAAAAGCTTCTCGCCGGGCTCTCCAGTGATATGCTCAAACTGTTCCGGATGATACGGATTCTTGCTCAGCATCTCGTTGATGGAGCGCTCATAGAGAGCCGTATAAAGGCGCAAGTCCATGTTGGTATGATCCTGCCGGAATGGTTTTAAGTCGCAATTGGTTTTTATAAGTAAAGTACATTTACATTTGAATAGAAAAGGATTAGTTATCTTTGCATTGATCGAGAATTAATACCCTTGCAGCCGAAAAAGAATTCTTGATATAATAACAATATCATAAACAGATCTTAACTACAAAAAAAAGCTCAATTTATCACAAAAAGTTCTGTTTAAGAACAAAAGAATTTTCGATATAAAAATGGAGTTTTAGATGGAATGTTCCTATATATGGTAAAGAGATCTGATAGATCAACGCAGCTGTATCAAGTATTACTAAAAGCTGAGTTCACATTGATAATGAATTATAATTATAATGAATAGTTCAGTTTAATCTTCATGGGGGGAATCCCAGATATTTTTCGGCTGCAAGGGCTTTTAAATTAGTTGAGAATAATCTACAAGATGTGTGTGGGTATTATAGTTAGTGGATGCTGGTTAGGACTTATTGATATATGAGATTAGTGCCCGATGAGACCAGTGATTAGTACATTAGTCCATATAATGGCAAAACTCATACTAATACCTTGGCATGGATACGCGGTCCGGCAGCTAAAACGCAGCAAAGGATTACAGAAGAAGTATGTGTACCATTCTCTCTGTGTGTGTGTGTGTGTGTGTGTGTGTGTCTATGTCTAGGTGTATCAATAATACCTTCAGATCGTTGCGTGCCAAATATATAATGCGCCTCATATCGTGTATAGCCTGATAGACATGCTGATACGTTGCGCTCTCACACTTCAGTATAATGGCGCGCACGTCTATGAACTCGTGCTGGCAACGCTCAAAGAAATACGGATACTGGAAAGTACAAAAAATTCGAATATTGTTATTGTTGCTATAATATGCAAAATTTGGAACGCATAGACTCACATAGTTGCGTGTGAACTGCTTTTGGAAGAATCGATCGATGTTCTGCAGCTGCATGATGCGGTTGCTCAGATCGTAGAGTCGGCGCGACATCTCGCGACCCACAAGGGTCAGGGGTGTTGTGTAGGGCTTGCCATCGTTGTGGCGACACTGGGTGGTCTTCAGCTTGGGCGTGGGACACTTCAGCACCGACCTGAGCTGCTCGAGCGGCGGCTGTGGCTGACCTGCCGCCCGGCCGTTGGTCGATTGCGCGCTGCATTTCCAGATATTGGAGAAGTTTTGGCCTGTTGATGACGTCGGCGGCGGCGGCAGCGGCGGCGGCGATGAATGATCCAATGCATTGGCATCCTTTTTGAGGGGCGTATATGTGCCTGTCTTTAAATAGGTGCCATTGGCATTTACACAGCGCTGCGCCTCCTCCGAGTCCTGGATCATTGTGTACAAATAATTCAAATCCGATTTCGATCTGCCATCCATGGCAGTTGGCTCCGCCTGCAGCTGCGGCTCACCGAAGCTATTGGCCAAATGCTGTTCGCCAACCTGGTCGCTCTTCATGCTGTTGTACGGTGTGCTAAAGGCGCCGGGACCACGCCCATTGTCCAGAGCCAGATGCACGGTAGCCGGCGCCATGGGCAGAACTATATCAGAGCCATTTAGTGTCTTATTGCTGGAGTTTGAGTCGCTGCTGTTGCCGTTGCTGCTCCAATTGTTGTTGTTATTGTTGTTGTTGTTGTTGTTGATGGTGTTGTTGTTGTTGATGATGTAGTGGTTGTTGTTGTTGTTGTTGTTGCTGCTGCTGCTAATGTCCAGCTTGCAAAAGCTGTTCTTCTGCTTCTGCAGCATCCCGTCAAGATTGACAAACGACTTGATTATCATCTCGACGAGCGTCAATGTGCTTATCTGCCAGCTATCGAAGGCGGCCATAAAGCCGCCGGGCAGCTCATCCTTGATCTTATTTAATCCATCGGGCGTATTGTACACATAACCCTTGAGTATCACCCACGAGTTGACAATGCGCGTGAATACAAATATGAAATCCTTCACAGCCCAGGCAATGCCCTGCGAATTGATATTGGGCAGCACACCGTCCGGTCGCAGCAGATCCTGCTTGAGCCGGGCGCACAGTGTGTCCATCTTCTTGAAGCACGGACGCTGACGATGCGCATTGGCCAGCCGTTCGGCAATGTCGCTGCCCTTCAGCGAGATCCGCGTGATGTCCTGCAAGCGCTGTATGGGCAATATTACCTCCGAATTGCGACGCTCGCCCTGCTGAATGCTCGGGTATCCGTAGCTCTCAAACGAGCTGCGACTGTTCGACGACTCCTTGCTGCTGTAAAAGAATCGAGATGAATATGGCATTAGCTAGCTTCACAGCTGAAGGAGGTAGGCGGAATATAGAAAGTCTGACTCAAGGAGCTAGCGTCCCTTTAAGGGAAGCAGATTATCTAGGATTAAGATTAGTTAGCGTCTGAGTTGATCAGAAACTTGGGATAAGCTGCCTATCCATGGGTGAGAAAGTTATCCCAAAGACCCAGGCTGATTGGAGCCTTAGTCATTCTTCAGTTTTGTCCTACTCTGAAGAACTCTTTGAAAGTCGCCGCTGGCGAATCTAGGGCAGGGAATGCTTTACAGACATTCAAACCTATTCCTAGCCCCCCTCTCCTAATACACCCACAGTACCAGCCCTGACAGAATTAATGCCGCACTTACCTGTCACTTAAATTGGCCAGATATTTATATTTGGACATGGGCGGCGCATCGCCAATAAGATCCGTCTGGGTGGTCGCATCACAGCTGCGCCGGACGCACGTGCGCGTCTGGCAGGCGTTGTCCTTGGTGTGCTGCTGATGATGCGGACGCGCATGCGTCGCATGATAATGGGGCACATACATGCCGCCCACATTGGCCGATGCCGTGGAGTGCTGCATGTACATTTGGCCGTAGGCATTCATGGAAGCTGCAACGTTCGAGGAACTCGGAACTAGCCCAAAAACCAGCATTAGCATGGACTTACCCGAGCTGGCTGCATAATACTGTACGCCCGGCATGGACATGTATGTGAAACGTCCGTGCATCGAGGGATGCGGCTGCGGCGGTGGCGGTGCCGCCGGATGATGATGATGGTGATGCGTCTGTGGTGCTGAGTTTCCGCCCATAAATGGTGCGCGTCCGGTTTGTATGAATACGGGTGCACGCACAGGCACCGGCGGAGTGCTCATCGACCAGGAGCTCTGCGACACATGCTCCTGCACAAATACATCGGTTACGGCCATCCGGGTGCGATCCACATAGGTGTGCTGCTGATACATCGATTGCTGGCACAACGATTCCACGGCCATGGCGGGCATATGGAATACGGGTGCATTGTAGCCGCTATTCATGGTGCCGTGTCAACACACTTTCAATTTAATTTAAAAAAAAAAAAAAAAAAACAAAACAGAATGTGGACACTAGCACTAATTGCAAAAAAATGAAAATTCGAAAATTTGTAGGTTAGCTTTTCTGTCAGAAGTTTGCAATTAATTTTCTATCAAACTGTACATTGTCAATTTTGGCAATGGGGCTGGCTGCATGGCAACTGTCAATTGTTGAATTGAATATCGAGCCCTCGTGCAGCAAAAAAAGCTATTGACTAATCACAGAATATGGAGATTTTTGTTAAAGCAATTGCTCACCTGCAAGTCAAGCTGAACAGAATTTAAGCAACGGGCAACAACAACAGCGGCAACGACCCGAAAGCGACGGCGCGCCGTACATATTTCCGATAGGTAGAAAGTGTGCAAATATCGGCCTAGCGATGAATGTACATCTGCTTATCGATAGGCTAACTGATTTCTTTCGTAATTGCCTTCTCCACTAACTCTCTGAACTCTATAAAATAAATATCTAGATTCTATGCCAAAATAAAATACGATTTGTTTTCCAAAGTGCAAGATTAGTTATTTTTAGAATACACTGCCTGACTTGTCAATGTGAATGTCAGATAACACACATCTGCAATCTACAGGCACGAACTTGCTCTAACGTCTTTTTGCACATTCAAATTCATGCTTATGATACGGTGTTTACGAATAATTGCATTGCACGAGCTTTTCAATTTTCCTTCAAAAATACCGTCTAAATGAACAACATTTTCGTTAGTATGCATGGATTTAGTCTGTTTTCAAATAATCTAGTTTACATAAATAAATTAGTTTCAATTTGAAATTGGCGGTAACACAATGATAGTTCGATAATTCTTTAAGTAGTCTATTGTGAATGCAATGTATATCGATATAGCATATGATTTGCGCAGCTGACTTGCTATGCATTAATATATATTTTTTCTCTATCAAACTGATGTTTGGCTAGTTCGACAACAAATTTGTATTTCAACAAATTGTCTTTGGTGCTGAAATAAAATAGTATCGCTCGTCATAGCTTTCAGTTATGAATAACAGGGCGCTGTTAATAGCAGCGTAGTTAATGTTAAAATTCCATCGCTGCTGTTATGGCCACTGGCAGAAGAAGAAGACGAATTTGATAAAGCCGAAAAAAAAACAAAAATAATCCAAACAAAATTAATTAAAATGACAGACGAATCTAATTTTGCGGAACAAATATTAAATGATAAAAACAAAACAAATGTGCGGTGTCAGTTTTGCAACAGTCTAATGCTAAAAGCCAAAGAGGGCACCTACGCTGAGCAGGAAGTATGACAAACGCTAAATGTTTGACTAAAATGCCCGCATAAAACCAACAAAAAAAAAATGAATGCCCTTCCAGATAGACGTGCCGCTGATGGTGCAAAAGAAAGACAGCAAAGCCGATGCGCTCAACACGGAGGCACTGCATCATTTCTGGCTGGTCGAGGACATGATGTCATTCGAGAACATCGGCTTCTCGCACACCGTCGACGGCCGCAAGTTTCTCGTCTGCGCCGACTGTGAACGTGGTCCGGTCGGTTACCATGAGCTCGCCAGCAAGCGCTGTTATCTGGCCCTGAAGCGTGTGGTGCATGCGGACGCCTAAGTGGGCACTGGTAACAATCGGAGGGGTCCTATTCTAGCAAAGACATGCACTGCCAGTGCTGCCAAGCCATTGCGTTAGCCCAATATTAAATTGCTTTTATTATACTCTGTTCGCATGGCGCACAACGAGCATATTGGCTTTGGCGTCCTCACGTCTGTCTGTCCGTCCGTAAAGACTCGGAAATGGAAATATATGCTTGAGTAAATCCGCTTTAGCTAAACTGTTCCGATTATTCAGGGTGCGCCTACTGAGAGACGCATCTATTGTAGAAATCTATCAACTTTACAGTTTTGCAGCCACAGTTCATAAAATTGGTAGCTATATCCTATTAGATCCTTAAACATAAGTTTTAAGATTATCTAAATCGTGAAAATCTATATTATCCACAGCTCTTAACCCTCTTCTTAGTTAAAAAACTTGCTTGCCATGTCAAGTCAATATTTCACAGTTTAGGAGCCACCGTTGCTATCGACTTGTCTGTCTGCGAACAGAGTATTGGCTAGTCGGCTGCACCCGACTCTCGTAATTGTAAGTGTAAAGCGAAAAGTTGTTCACATCAAGACAAAACAAAACAATTTTTATGATTTAAGCTTATTTCTCCAAGCGTAGATAAAACAAAATGAAATATATGCATGTATATTTTTTGTATTAATATTTATTGTTTTTCGTTTAAACATTTTTTAAAAGTTTTATTGCATTTAAGAGGAGTTTCTTAACTAAAACACTTGTCACACTATTTAAACTTGTTGTCCTTTGCAAAATGTGGCTTACAATTTAAACTAAAATTTGTGTAATTTTTTTTTATGGCTCTGGTTTCTATAACGATTCTTGTGTTTAATTCTACAGCCTGTGGGGGGACACATTGATTTGCCTTCGCTCCGATTCCTCTGCCTCTGCCTCTGCCTGAGTTCTATTCAAGGACTCTTCTTCTCAGATGTTTTTCATGCTCCAAAGATTTTTGTATACTCGTTCACAGAGTAATAAAAAAGGGTATATTGGGGTGGACTTGTTAGATATACTCGTGCATATTTGCGTCGGACAGCAGTGGTAGCCACGCCCACGCCTGGAGGCGGGCCAGCTATTACATTTTAGCATGTATCAAGGATCGTCTTCTAAAATGTTTGACACGCCCACTGATAACGCCTTTGATCGAAATCGTTTATAAATTCCACAGTTAAGAAGTTTAAGGTACGAAAATGGTTTTACATACGCCCGCTAGGGGCGTGGCAAATGAGGAAAAATGGCTATATTTGGCGGCATTGAACTGTGAACGAGTATCTGTTAGTCGGTTACACCCGACTGCAATGTATTTGTGGTTGTTTTTCCGTTTCGTTTGGCAGTTGTTTAGAATTTTCTTTAGTTATTTATTTTTTTTTTTTTGAGTGCATGAGGCGTGTTGTCCTTGAAGCGGGCTTAGCTTAGCCTAAAGGATTTAATTTGGGGCGCGGCAATTTTCATTTTCATTTGATTTCAATTGAACTAAGAGTTCGTTTAATTTACGCATTTTCTTTAGTTGTCTGTGTTTTTGTTGTTAGTTTTTCATTTTTAGAAAAAGTTCTTATGAAAATAAAAAAAAGCCAACTCAGACAAAAGTGTTAACATTTATTTTATATGTATGTACTACGGTTTCGTTAATTTGTTTAAAATTTCTTTTCTTTATATATTTGTATTTATAGCCTTAGTTACAACAATTTTATATTTATTTAATTAATCGCTTTTATTAGTGGGGCTTTGAATACTTATTTTTCATTAACTGCGGTAGGTTTTTTAAAAATTTATTTTTAATACTTTTGTTTCAGAATTCTTGTTATTTGAAATATGCTTTTATTGGCCAATTTTTATTGTTATTTTCCTTATTATTTTCCTTTTGTTTTTATATACAATCAAAGAGTTTTCATAATAAAGCTTTTGCCGTAGGACATTGAGATATAGGAGAAAAAAATATTGGCTGGAATCGAGCTGCAAGAGAATTTCGTTTAGCTGGGATTTGGATGAGGTTTTCCGGCCTGGATGCTTACCCGAGATTGTAGCAGCTGCGGGGATGAAAATTGCTGAGACGGCTGGGAAATGGCACAGAACTTAGGATTTTCTAGGGAAAAACAAACGACGACATGTTGGAAAAACAAAGAGAAACAGAAAATGAAGCGTCGCCCAATCCGAAACGATGGACACCTAACGCTGCAACCACTTGCAGGCGCCCACAAGCAGGCCCACGGTGGCCAGCAGTCCGAGGCCCGAGACGCCGCTCAGCGCTGCGGCGCCATTGCAGTTGTCCGTATCACAGGAGCAGACCACCTGGCGGCCACCGAAGCCGGCACGGCTATAGCAATAATTGGTCGATGTTTGATTCTGGAAGCCGCAGGTGCGTATCACACGGCTATCTGGCGGCACTGCAATCAATAAATATATATAAACAAATATATGAATATTTTCAATATTAAATATTTTGTGGCAAACTTACGGCTGTTCACGGAGAACTCAATGATCTGTGTGATCTTGCGACAATAGGTGGGTATGCCCTTGCCGCGCGTCGAGTAATCCTCCTGGCAGTCCTTCAGCAGATTATCTGGCGGTATGTCCAGCGCACAGTTGGCGTCCTTATGGCTGTTGCACACAAAACACTTGATGGCAGCGCCTGCAAAATCAATCAGCAAACACAATTTAATTAGCTGCGTTTCAAAATGGATAAAATGGAACAGGGTATTTTTTGTGCAAATGTATGCGACAGGCAGAGGGAAGTATTTCCGACCCTATAAAGTATATATATATATTCTTGATCAGCATCAATAGCCGTGTCGATCTACTCATGTCCGAGTGCCTGCTCGTCCGCCCGTCTGTCTCTACCTGTCGCCCTCCCACTATCCGTTCGTCCCTCCGTGCATACGTGCGTCTCTCTGTTCGTCCCTCTATCCCTCTTTCCGTCGGTCCGTTCCTTCGTCCGTCCGTCTTACTTACTTTACTTAAAATAAAACTGAAGCATTTGCTTTTTCTTATATATATAAAAGAGGTTGTGATTTGTAGCGAAATAGGTGCTTGAGCGTCGAGCTAACTTGCGAGAGGTTGCCAGTTCTAATTTCATATTATTATTATATTTGTTTAAAATGAAATTATTTGATCGAAATAACTGACAAAAGTGAGCTGGAAACATGGGGCATACGAATTTGCATAGAGGCGAGTTGCTGGTTCGAATCGCTGGTTCAAATCGCGAGCGCAACTAGCCTTGAACCTAGAGATAATCCTGTCGCCACAAGCTTTCTCTTAATTGAGCGCAAAGCAGCCGCATTTAGTTAATCAGAAAAGTTTTCCATACACAAATATATATTCAAGCTCGCATACGCCTAACCTTAATTGTTTAACAAAAAAGAGAGAGAAAGAGAGAGAGGGAGAGCAAAAAAAAAAATGGGTAAACAAATATTAGAGGCTGCATTGAGCTGGAATTTAGATTGAGACGTTGACTTAGCTAAATTGAATTTAAGGTCGAGTTTCGCATTATTTCATCTTATGCCATACGCAAATATGAAATACAATATCTAGATACGTTTTATTATGCAATTGTGGTGCGCTTTTGCCTCACACTGTGCCAAAAATGGCACATTGCATGGCCCTCCCCCCCCGATGACCCCAAGTCGAGAGATGCGCCTCCTCCATTAGTGCCTGCTCGTTAGGCTCTTGAGAGCCAGTCGCTAATTAGAACCAATCTCCGTCTCCGCCAGCTTCATCAGCTTGTGTTAATGGACTTCAATAACTCGTACATGTTTTGTTTCTGTCCCTCAATACTCTCCGCAATCCCCGGATGGGTTGCATAAGTGCCGGACAGCATTGTTTTCGCCGCCCCTGCTCCGGTTTTTCCTTAAGCCATTTTTGGTCTGGCGAACAATGCACCGCATATATGACAACGTACCCCAACCCAACCCCAGCCCCAGCCGCTGCCTAAGTCGGCCGGAGAAGTGCCTTTTACGTCTCCTACTTCTAAGTATATTCAGTATATTCATCTTGTCTAACGGCATGCAAAATATAGTTTAGTAGGGTATACTATATATACGAGGAAATATCAGGAAATGCTTTGCCATCTCAATATAATTTAGGGGAATGCAATTACGTGGTATCTTTTGTGTGCATTGCTCTGAGTTAGATTTTATAGAATTTCTTACAAATAATTTGCTTACGAATTCATTTGAAAGCAATGTAGCTGTAACTCACAATGAACGACTGCTAGATACCCTGTATGCATAAAAAAAAAACAATAATTTAAAAATTACTTAAAAAAACTTCTCGAGATGAAGATTTTTCTATTAAGAAAGACTTTTCTTGCATTAAGAAAGCCTTAACTTGAAATTCAATATTTTGGGTAACTACTTTACAGGGTATAAAAAGGCTTGAGCGAAAGTGATAGTTGTTCGGAAAGTAAAGATAGAGCATAAAATAAAATATATATTTAATAGATTCTGAATATTATAGATATAAAGAATATCCTGATTGCTTCACTTTTCTATATTAAGACAGTCCCATTTCCATGTTGTCTATTGAAAACGCTCTGCTTGCGATATAATATAGTTTATCATTGTTTATTAAAGCCAATTAATATTGAGATATTGATTGTTTTCGCTGTAAATTGACAGAGCTATAAATACGTCTATAGTACATGCATATATATATATATATGCTATATCTATAGTAGATATATCTGAGTTCCTTACGTCTAGCTTACAATTGGAAATAACATAATCGTTATTTTGCATTTAATATTTTATATAAGTGCGTCGTTTGACTTGAGAATGGTTTGGGTGGGTTTAGTGGGGGTTGGTGGGGGGGGGGGGGGGGGGGGGTGGTGGGGTGTTGGGCTGTGGGGTCTGGCTGCAATTGTATCCAGGCCTGCTAACCGAGTTACGACCAGGGCATTTAGAGAGCATGAGTGCGCATGTCCTGCGTTCCCATACACACACACACACACACACACACACACACTAGCATACGCATACGCACACACACAAGCACTCACGCACGCAAGCACTCACTCACTCGAGCACACACATACATGCGTAAATAAGCACACACTCACGCACACACTCACGCACACACTCGTGCGCATTTCACCCAGTTAGGTTCAGGAAGGAAAAGATATATTGCGATGCGCCTGGTTAGATATCTCTTTTATGATATATGCTAAGCGTAAAATGCAATAATGAGCTTTGTTTAAGCAAGTTAATAACTACAGTAAGGACTCTACTAACGAACGGTTGCCTTAACTTATACTATTAATAATAATAATTAATAATAATATTAATAATACTATTACATCAAGTTGATATCGTAAGCGAACATCTGTCTAAGCAGCTGAAAAAGGTTTATGTATGTCCGTTCAAGCGAGCTCTCACTGTAGTTGGATAGGAGCCCAGTCATAATGGGAACACTAGGAATGGGCGTACACTCTCTAAGGGTCGGGTCTAGGGGAAACTGCAATTGTCACTCTGCCAGCTGGATTCTGGCTCTGTCTGTAAGGATTTCTGGCCAAAAAGGCGCCATTGCGACCGGCTTCCAAGGCGGCGTCAAGGCGTCGCTCACACTCTTCTCTCTCTCTCTCTCTCGCTCTCATTCTCTCTCTATCTCCCACTTACGCTCTTGCACTGTGACTCTGTGACAACCCCCCGACTTCCATACTTCCCTCGAGCCTCAAGCTGTGCCGTAGTACACGCATTATGTAATCGTCAAATCGTATGGACAAATTTCCGTTTTCATTTCTGTCTTTTTTTGGCATTAAATTCGAATTGTGTGTGGGTGTGTGTGAGTGTGTTTGTGTGTGTGGGAGGGGCTTGTAGGGGCTTTACCTTGCTGCACGGCAATTGCCAAAATTAGCGCGCTAATCACATAGATGTACTGCATTTTTATCAAATATATTTTATTTAAATTCAATTATATGAATTGGCGATTCGAACGAGCTAAAACACGCGCTAGCTTGATTTTTATTGTATGTTATATGTTTTTTTTTTTTTTTTGTTTGGGGAATTTTTAGTATGCAGCACAATTGAAAGAACACCGTTTCGGCTGTTATCTGTTGTGTACTGATTTTTTAATGTGGCTCTTCTTATTTTTTCTTTTTTAATAATTTTCCAACACTCTTTGCAAGCACGGAGCGGCGCACGGTCACAGAACGAGACCGTCAGAACGACAACAAGCGACTGGAACTGAAGACGCAGCTTGCACGAGAAATGTGGCACGATTGAGCAGATGAGCAGCACTCGGAACAGAAAGCCACAGGCACAGCTACAGCCAGAGCCGCAGCCGGGGTACTATGGGACATTTGCAACGGTTGGCGAGCAAAAAGATAAGTACCTTAAATATTGGGATTTCGATTTACATAATATGCAATGTTGCATAACAGCTGTTAAGATAGCAGCTGTTAAGCAAATTACTGCATTTTTATTGCTTGCCATAATGCTTTATATTTTGAACTTAATTGGATTTTTATGTTGTTTGATTTAGGTTTACAGCTAAAGCATCTGATTGTCGGGAATTTTTTCTTAGAAAATCTCTGCTTTAGATGGAGTTTAACATATTAATCTTAGTTTGGAGTAATTTCTTTTTGTCACAAAATTGTGAATTTGGCCCATTGTGCACAGTCGCAGTCGCAGCCCATTCAGCGGCTAATGCCCGGCAAGCTTTCGCCTGAGCTTTTGAGAGAGTGAGTGAGCGACTGTGCTGCCTGCTGAGTCCTCGCGCCGGGCGTTGCCAGACAGCTTGACTGAGCTGCGCAGCCAAGAAAGTTAAGTATTGCCACACTTTTATAGAAATAGACTAGTTTGTTCACCTCCAAGGCTATTATAAATTTGGAAGAATTTAATTTCCCATTGAACACTGTGCATGTGTGTGTAGCTTAATCAGCTCGATGGCTTAGAGTTATATGCAAATGAAGCACTTAGTGGGCAATTAAGTCTGCCTAGTTCTATGCTAGTCCTAACCCTGAGTGAGACGTTAGTTGTAGTTCCAGTATAGTTCACTGTTGGCACAAATTTGCCCAACATATTAATTAAGCTTAATCGTAAGTTTCCTTTACTTATCCACACACCAAGTCGTCCGAGTCGCTGTCCAATTGAGTTGAGCTATCTTATTTTTTTTTTTTGCGATCATGCGTCGCTTTTGTGCCTCAATCAGAGCAAAAATTGCAGATCTCTTCCAATCCCGATTCCAATCTCAATCCCCAACTCAATCTCAAGCCCAAACACACACGCACACACACAGACACACATTCACACACAGTGCCTTGCCCTTTCGGCTGGCATCTCGCTTCCACTCGTCAGCTTAGCTTTGTCTATCTCTGTCGCAACAAGCTGCTGCGCTTAAATTGATGTCATTACCACTTTCATTTAGCGATGATGCCTATAAATAGATCTGGCAACTCTAGGGTTAAAGTACGCGTAGTCAAAATGCCGACAAAACAAACATACAGTGAAAGCTCCCTTGAAAGGTCAGCTAGAATTTCAGAAGATACAAACATATATTTCTATCCAATTTTTAAATAACATTAATATTATTTATGTTTATCCAAAATACAGGGGTTGTAAGTAAAATGTTCTTTGGAAAATGTTCGCCAAAGAAACTTGTCCGTGTGCAGAGCGTTAACTGTACTTTCAATTTTACGCATCAAGCATACGCCGCGTTTGACCGCGCAAGTTTGTGTTGTGTTCTCAGCTAAAAGCTAAAAATACTGGTTCTTAATAAATTCCCATTATTTTGCGCAGCACAATGAACTCATAGCACAAGCTTTAAGTTGACTTGCTGTTGTTCTTGTTGTTGTTGTTGTTGTTTGTTATTAATGCTAAGCGCCGCAATGTTTTGCAATTAATCGTCAAAGCATTACGTCACGCAGAATTTATAGGGTACGGGGTCAGTGTGTGGCGGCGGGTGGCGGGCGGCGACTGTGAGACGGGCTCGCGCAGACACTAAATCAAATCAAACCAAACCGGTTTGAACAAACAATAAAAACATACACATACATGGGCACTAATACACTTGTGCGCACACGTTAACTGGAGCTGATCACACACACACACACGCACACTCACTCTCACATTGCACCCTATAAAAAGCCTTTGCGTATGGAATTGCAAGTGAGTGAGTGAGTGTGTGTGTGTGTGTGTGTGAGTGTGGAATCACCAAGGGAATCTGTATAATCAGCTGTTTGAGCGCGAGGCAGTTCGAGTTACTAAATGCTGACAAATTCAGAATTGTTGTTTAGCGCATTTCATTGAGCCAATTCGGATTCAGTTCTTTATGAACACGCCAAGCATTCTACCATAGAACTGCAATAGGAGATCTTGAGAAAATATTGTTCAAGGAAATCCAAAACAACAATAAATTCGTGAGTGGTTCAAACACGGCGCATATTAAATAAACAATTGAAAATGGTTTTTGTTATTTATGTGATAATATAATTCGATTTTTATAGGTAAAAAATCTCCAAATAATTTGGATTTTTATTTTTCTATTACCAAAAGTAAAATTGAAAAATCTCTAAATAAAAATCATCTTTAAAGCTTAGGCTAATTCAAATTAAGGTACTTTAAGGATTTACAAATTGCTTCACATTGTTTTTTTGTTGCTTAATTTCGGCTCCTAATTATAATAATAAAATGTGTTCGAACTGAAAGGCAAAAGTTAATCAAATACAATGAAAAATGTAAAACTTTGGAATTGTAAACAAATTCTTAGCTCGTTAATTGTATGTACTTTTTTGATAATTAGTAATTTAGCTGAAAATAACTCACCTGAGGCTTGTTTCCACATTGAGTTTTACAAGTTGAGAACCGCTTAAAACCAGCTCAAGCTGCCGTTTGTCGAATTTCGTTATTTGCAGAACTCTAGTCAGATATATGACACACATACATGTATCTACCTATATGTATATATGTGTGTGTGTGTGTGTGAGTGTGTTCAAAATGCTGAAAATCAAAAACAAAATATAAAACCCGCTTGATAAGCTGCCCGGTTTTACTCGTTGTATAAACATTGTATTTGGCTCTGTAAGTCCCAGATACTTGGCTGTCTGGCCTCCATCTTCGGCTGGATGAAACCAAAGTGGTTGAGTTTTGGTAGCCGTATACCAGTTTTAACTAAACAGCCACTGATAAGAGTATTGTTTAGTTGTGCGTTCTTCGTATCACCGGAACCTAAATCGTTTAAAACACACGGACAACAACCCAGCCAGACGACAATCTGAACAACAATAATAACAGCAGGAGATACAGTCAATAACATCATAATAAATAGTTCTTTTCTTAAGTTCCTTGAAAAGCCAGACATAATGTTATCTTCATGATAGCAAAGCTGTAACTCCCTTGTAGAAATATGTATCTGCGGATATCCGATGTTGTCTGACTCTCAGCTTTATGATATAGTGATCGGATCAGTCCAACTGCAACATATGTAATTGCTGTACAGTACACTTGTTTCCCAACTGTACGACTACTCCGGCTGGAAAGAGAGAGAGAGAGAGGGACCAGACTGTACAAACTGATCATGAGTATATATATGTACAAATATATGTCTATATATTACAGACTTGCAGCTGATTTCCCAAAGGCTTTACAGATTTCGCACGTGTCGGAAGAACTCTTCGTATATGGCCAACCATATTATCTTAGCTTTAATTGTGACGTCACAGCTGCTCATTTACCGGTTGAAAGCGGCTCTCAGTTCGAAAAAGAGCTTTGATTTTCGGTAGGAGCTAAATTCAAGCGTGCATCGAAATGAACGCGTTATCAATGCAAGCGGTCGGGCAACCCCTCCTGCCCCCCTTGCCCCCTGGCCGAGGCGATCCCGCAGCAGCGATCAAGTGTCGGAAGTTTTTCCATAGCTTCTTTCGAAAACCTGCCCTGCAGCTCGCCCCTCAGCCCTCTGCTGATGCTGTTGTTGTTGGCGACCACTCAATGTCGCTCTCTTACGCACGCTCTCTCGCACACACACACACACACACACACACGCGCGCTTTAATCTCAGCTGTCTTCTCTCTCTCTCTCTCTTTCTCTCTTCGCTGCGTATACGCTCGCGTTTTCCAAATCAAATTGTTTTGAAAAACTCAACACAAGTTTTCAGATTCATCTCGACGTTGCGCGTGTCAAGTTGTGTGTCTCGGCTTTGTCTTAAGATCGGTACTCTATAACATTCCCATAGTTTTGTGAGTCTACGGTTTGTGCTACTATATAACAGCTTTTATAATTATTCTATATCGGGATTTAAGAAATGTTTGAAAACAGCTAAATATAATTCAAGTTGTGCAAAAAAAAACAACGATTTATTTGAAAGAAAACACATTCAAAAACTTATTATTATTCAAAATTACAATTGTTACAAGGAAACGTATCATATTTATTAACATAATCGATTAATCGTGCAAGGCATACAAGAAATTTTCAAATAAAATTCAAAAAGTGAAAAATACAGATAAAAGATAATTATTATAAAAAGTTGAAAGCCTATAAAACTTAATCTAACTCAAATACTACCAAGGCTTCTGAGAATACTTAAAAAAATATCTGAAATATTCTTTTAAACTTATCTTTAAGGTGCTCTTAAGTAAACAAAGCCATACTAATTTAAATGCAAAATTATTTGTGCCAATAAACTGTTAGACGCTGAACTAAAAACCAGATAGCAAATACTACTAGTAAATATATGCATATTAAATTATACGTTTCACTCATTAAAAGTGGCTTAGAGGGTATGATAAAGTTGTGCGATTGTATGTGAAAGGCAGTAAAATCTATTTTGAGACGGACACATAAAGATAAAATTAGCAGTTTTATGTAAAGTTTAACAGTTTTATGTACAAGTTACGATTAATTAACAGTTTTATGTTAATGTTAAGTTTGGTTATAATTTAAATTTTTTGTACATGTAAGTTTCGTTAGCTTTTTTTTAATATATAACATATAATAGTATTAATATTATCTTTAACATTAATTAGCGTTAAGCTTTTGTTTCTTTAAATATTTATTAGATTTTATTCATGGTAGAGCTCTTCCTGTATTTGCTGAACTTAAGTGAAGGGTATCTTCTAGTCGATCATATTCGTTGAAGGCACTCTTACTAATTTTGTCACCTGCTCTGCCCGTTTGTTTTTGTGCTTTGTCGTTTTACATTAGGTAATCAAACCATAAACTAACTGACTTAACTGAGTCAAGATCAAACCACAGGCGTCAGCTTTAACGTATTCCCGTGTGGATCAGAGAAGAAACCGCCGGACTTCACCCACATACATAAAATGTCACAGACGCTCGCCTACATCACGTTAATCGCTTTTATTGCGCATCTCTTATCAGGTAACGGTATATACGGTTTTAATATATAATGTACAAAACATATGCCAGTAAACATTACCCGAGAATTTTCGATTCCCCTTTTTCTTTACCTTTACTTTAAATGTGATTCGTATTGAAACGATATTTTCACCTAAATAGAGACGTTTTACGGAAAGTCTACAATTTTATTAATACTAAGTATGTAAGTTGGGCAGCCTAGGGATAAGATTTTCCGAAATTGCTATAAGTTCGTTAATAATTTACAAAATTAGTTTAAAGTAATTTGAAGGAAATTTCCCATTCCCACCCAGGCAGGTGGATCTCCCGAAATCAGTGAAAAAAATCATCAATGTATTTTGCCAAAGAATTCGCACAAAAAACACGCGTTTCAAACTGATTGGATAACAGATAAATTTCATGCAATCATTTTCCACCAATTTTCCACACTTGCTAGTGAAATTCTTGCTCTTACTCAATTTGTAATGTATAGCTATAGAAGTGTGTCATTTTAGGCGGCCGACTCTTTAATTAATTAATCAAATTGAAAAGCACAGAATCAGCCAATTGATTGACCAAAACACGACATCTGTCCGCATCTTGTTTTCGGCTGGGCAATTGGGCAGTTTATTTGGACGCGCCGATGTGGAACCTAATGTTAATGGCAACACCCTCGACCAGAGGGGAAGTAGTCGAGAGTACAAAGCAATTGATTTTGGGCTTTGCACATTAATTAAATAACGCTTCCAAAACGAATGCCAAATGCAAATTGATATCAATTGAATTTTCTGTTTGGGCTTTTAACACCGTGCCTAATGCGACACGATTGATGGGTAAATAGGCGGAAAGGCAGGTGTTATCGGTAGATTGTTATGCTGATGACGACGGCAAGATACCCTGTAAGCAGCTACAGCATGGGCAATTGAGACCCCTTGCCTAGAAAGGAGGTTGACACAATCTGACTGACAGACAGATTGATTGACTGATTGGGGCTTCAGGCATAGCTTAAAAAGGGGCAACTGCATTTTGCACATTTTGCTTACAAAATGTTGGAAATTTTTCTTGTTTTTAAAAAAGTTTCTGAATATAGGTAAACTTTACCAGAAATTGAAAAACCTTTCGTTTTATGGCTGTGTTGTAAAATGCAGGATATTTTATGAGAGCAGGTATACACATAGACATGATAGGGGAAAGTTCCACCCGCTGTTGTGGAAAATTGGTGAAAAATGTATGTACGAAACACAATCGTCTTGATGTTAATTTTGAAAAATCCTATGGAGAATTTATTAACTGGTTAAACACTAGGGCCCAACATTTGTCCACCCGTCTGGGTTCTCAAGAAATTTGAACTAAATTTCCAACAAGCTGTTGTAAAACGTGTGAGCGGAAGATAGGTGGAATTACCAATATACCTGCTTGCATCAGCGTATTCAGAGCTGGGTAGAGACCTAATGAGACTCAATTGAAGTCACTTTCTGCATTCTTTGCACAAGCTGAGAACCACTTAAAGTTAACTTCCCCCCACGCGACATATCAGGGCAGTAAAAGATGTTAAATTATTGAAGCTGCAGTGATAATCAGATGCGCAAATACATAACTGGTTTGTGTATATATATATATATATATATATATATGTATATACGACAACCCTAGGCATTCATAGGGTTGAGTTACGCGCTTCATTAGCATACAATTGTCAAGTGTTGGCTGGCGAACACTGTGCTACAAGTTCAAGTTTAGGCTGACCGCAAGCCGCGGTGCATGTAAAATGCAAATGTCCGATTTGATATCTTGAATCTCATATTTCAAACACTACAATATTCTTATGGCAACTTGTTTTTATTGGCGTTGCGCTTGGATTAATTGCAAATGGCAAGAAAATAGGGGAAAAAAATAACTTGACGGGGCCTGTGAATAGGCCAAAAGTCAGCAAACTAAGAAGCAACAAAAAATCGCGCATACGCCCAGTTAAACGTCTGACAATCAAGTCTCTACAACTAACCAGACATTCGGGGGCATATTAATGGACACAAAGAGCTTGAAAAGGTATAAAAGGGTTAAAGGTCATGAGTGCAAACGTTTTGAATTAGAAAATCATATATCATAATCATAAAATCAGAAAATAATAGAAACAAATATATTTTAAATGCTGGATTTTTGTTTGAATTCTTAAATCATAGATCAGAAAAAACTATTAAAATATATTTTGAATGCTGGATTTGTCGACCTTTCCATATTATTTGAAGGTGAATATTCCATCAAAATTGTGTATCCTTTTTTGTCTTGGATAAAAATTGCCGAACTTCGAGCTAGCCAAACAAATATTTATTATACATTACTAATTTATGAATGTATTAAATTTAAATTTAATGCCAAAAGAAAATTAATTGAAAGAGTTGTTCCTTTTTCGAAAGGGTATCCAAAGGTTGGAAACTATGCTCAAGTGCTTGTTCCTTAAGTTTTTGTGCTGTTTTGCGTGTCAGAACAGAACCGGGTAACAGAATAGGAGCTCGAACAAGAAGTGCTCGCAGTTGACATGCAATTATTTAGCCAACTGCCGAGTCTCAGTCAGTTAGTCAGACAGGTAGCTCAGCTACCTGGCGGGGGCTAATAAAATAATTTGCTGTCAAAATGTCTGGCTATGTGAAAAGGTTGGTGCATTCGGAATGCCATGCGGAAAGGTCTACTATATCTGCGCGTTGAAATGCCGATGACAAATTGCTTTTCTATTCTAATCAAGGCTGCAAACCGATATTGAAATGAACCCCGTGCCAAATGGGAGCTATAAGCCCAACCGCGCAGCTATTGTCTTGTATCAATGGTTTGCCTGAACATAAAATACTTTGAGATACATTTACAAGCCAGAAATAACTTGTGACTTAAAATACTAGCATTACCCGGCTTTGACCGGGCAGTCAGTCTGTCTTATCAAAATAGATCTAGCCATGGTCGACCTGTTTTACTTGTCTCTCGTCGACCTCTGTACCTGCAGAAGCTAGATAATTTATGCCTGCTTTTTTAACAACAACAAAAATTTAGAATAAACCGCTTATTGAAGATGTTGGGGTATCTCTCAGCCAGAAACTCCCGACTAGAGTAGAATATTGATTCGAATATTTCAAATTCTCATACCCATTCCCATTCCTATTTAGTGCTTGTGCATATCCATATATATAAGGAAGGCAGCTCGAGTGATTATACGGACAGCGTATCTCCCAGTCAGGCACACCCGACTAGAGTATAGTACTCTTGATTATCTCTCTCTCCCTCTCTCTATATGTACAAAGAAGGCAGTTGAAATGATTTTAAGTGCAGTCCGAGCTCAGGGTATCTCACAGTCAGACGATTCCCACTGGAATAAACTATTGCTGAATTCAAGTATTAACGCATACCCTTTCTCATTTATATATGCAGTCTCGGGCTTGCGGTGTCATCAGTGCAACTCGCACGACAACGAGGATTGCGCCAGTTTGGTGGTGAATACGCCGCGTGCCCAGCGGGATGAGCAATATCTGCTCGATTGTGAGCCCAAGGGGGAGGAGCAGGCCTTCTGCCGGAAGACGGTCATCAAACTGGAGGTGAACGATGAGCATCGCATCGAGCGCAGCTGCGGCTGGATACAGGAGAAGGCGCATAATACCTGCTTTACGGCGGACAACGAGGGCTACAAGCAAATCGTTTGCACCTGCAGCGAGGAGGGCTGCAACGGCGCACGTGCATTAACCGGCCCTGGTTCAGCCCTGGTACTGGCTCTCAGCCTGCTCGCTGCCCTGGGCTGCGTCCTGCAACGCTGATGATGAAGTGCATCCATCCAGCGCAAACATTTGAGTTCCAATCTAATCAAATATCTTGCACTATCTATAAGTCTTACGTTACTGTCTTTTCGCGCCGCTGCTTTGCAGAATTAAAATATGTTATTTGTATTTGTAATTTGTATTTCATAACTATGCAAAAACTAAGATACGACTAATTTACTAAATTGTTGACCTTTTCTTATTTGTTGCCCAGAAAATAGTTAGATCTAAGGCCCAATTTTAGGATCCTGCTTCGAAATGCCTTTCGAATGCGGAAGTCAATTTTTTGTTGTATAGATTTTTAGAGGGTATTATTATTTTGTTAAACTATTGTCTCATAGACTCGCATTGCCTCCACCATATCATATAGCTAAGATGCGAATTATTGGTGGAAAATTAAGTTACAACAGGAACTGGGCATTTGTTAGCTTGAGAAAGCTCTCTGCCTATATGCAAAATGGAAAACATTTCTTCTATTGACCAACTTCTGGAATTGCAAGCCTTACTTTTCTCCTAATATATCCGTATTGAATCGGTTTGCTATGTCATCTGTCTCTTATAGACGCAATAGGTCGATAATAAAGGATATCAAGCTGGTAATATAGCACGACTTAGGACTTGAAATCTTTAAGGATTTAATATGGTATATATATTTATTATAAAACCTTATTACAACTCAACCAAAGGTTGTTTGAAATCTGTTTGGCTTCAAGCGAAGGAACTGAGTGTACTTTAAAATAGTGTAGCCTAAAATCGATATTTTGGTTTATGTTGGGGTTTAAGCTTTCCTTAAGGAATCCAGCTGATGCCAAAATGTCTGCACAATTGTTTTGTGGCTTGGTCGACAGCAAAGTTATGCCCCAAACTAATAGCATAACGTTTTTTTCTTTTTTTTAATATTTTTTCTTACGCTTTATTGTGGAGCCAGGGGCACAAGAAATTGTTGTTTTTGTATCAGGCAGGGCAAGGACGAGATGCTGACCCATTGCCATTAGGCCAAAGGCACACAAATTGTTGTTTCTCCACGCACTTGACGGGCTTTAACATCTCGTTACATTTGCTGCCGTTTGTTAGTCTTTCATTTTTATTGCCAACTACACAGATACACAGATACATAGTTAGATACAGTGAAAGCTCGTTGAGCGGACAGCCTCATTGGCCGGACAACATATGTAAATACCTAGTTTTGTAGAGTTTATTATTTGTTCAAGATATTTCTGCCAAACTTCTGCAAGGGAACTCATTATAGAACTTATTTTCAAAGCTCTATATAAAAAATGGATTAGATACATGTCTCATAGATTTTGAAAAGTACAGCTACAAATATGCAAGGAGAATTTTTTTTTTTTTAATTCACGCGTGGAATATGGGTGGATTTCAATGAATGTAGCTCGTTTGTAATGCATTTACAAATTACAATCTTTTTATAATTGTCTTACAAATGGTCGTTTCGACTAAGGAGGGGTTTCCATGAATTTCTCTAATATCATGCGTGGAATATGGGCGGATTTCAATGATGGGTGGATTCCAAAAAATCGCTAAGTCGTTATTAATGAATTCACAAACAATTTATTATTGTTCTACAAATGATGCTTCGACTTAGGCGAGGTTTCACTGTACATACAATATTCTGAAGCGACCTACATGCGTTACATATCACAGAGTTGCTTTTGTCGCCAGTCCAACTAGCTATTCCCAGAGTCTTTTGTCCTGTCTGTGACTGTGAATGTGACTGAGAATATGATTGTGGATGTTAATGTGGCTGTGGATGTGGCTGTGTATGTGGCTGCGTGTGCGTTTGTTGCCGCCAGCTTGTCGCCTTCATCCGGCTAGAGCATCCGCAGCATTCGCTTGTGTGTCGCCCACACTTCCACCTACCCCTCCATGAATAGATCCCCGCCCACAAATAGATTTGCCCGGCCAGTGGGTCTTTATTTTATTTTCGTGGACTCTTTGGCGCCAACATGAAGAAAAATTGATTTTCAATTCTATGTGAGACATCGCCCCATGTTGTTGGCCTTTTATTGCATGTGGCTGATTTCTTGGATATTCTTGGTAATTGGGCGTTACTTGCTGAAGTTTTGAAGGACATTGAACCCATTGAAAACGGACGTGACTAAATACACTCGTTGCCCCACCATGGGTGTCTCCATCTGCAATGCATTTGTCGCCAAAAGTGAGCCATATATATATTAAAATGATTCCTTAGGAACTTACCTCTGAATTTCGAGATACAATTGGTGCTTTTTTTCCATTATGTTTTAGCAGTAAGTGTGGGAGGGGTCATGCAGAGATCCACAGTCTGCATACTCCACGACAAATCAAGACAGAACTGTCATTCCGACTCCATAGAGTATATATATTCTTGATCAGCAACCACAGCCGATTCGATCTAGCCTTGTCCGTCAGTCTGTCCGTCTGCCGTCCGTATGTGTAAGCGCAAGGATCTCAGAACCTATAAGAGATAGAGACTTTAGCTGTAGGTCCTCCTAGTGCCTGCGCAAATCGAGTTTGTATATCAAGTATCGAGTATAAATATCAAGTATCTTTCGTTTTATAACAATCGCCACCTCCCCGTTAAATCATGTGAATAACCCAACTTGCATTGCCCACCAATTTAAGCTATAATTTTAATGCAGTTGTCATTTTGATAAACACGAATATTTTATTGTACAATAATTCCCTAGTCGGGAGCTCCCGTCTAGAACCTCTTAGTTGTTAGTTCTATATTGATAATCTTCCTTAGACGTACGCGGCAGGGGTTTCATGGCAAAATAATCAAAGCTAAAAAAAAGAGACAACATTTGCATTGTCGGCCGCCTGTTTGGGTTTTGGTTCCAACATTGTTCAACCAAGCATTGAATGGTCTTTTTATTTTTATAATCCTTAATAGCATCCAATTTCGGTCGCTCTCCTGTATCGGTTTAATTGAAATAAATTGTTCGTTATTTTGTTAACTAACTCACCTCGCGTAGATAAATTATTAATGGCGAGCGCATTTCGATTTTCCAGGTGATGAAAAGGTTTCTTTCGTGACATTACTTCCCAGAGTATAATGCCAAAGCTGTAGACATCGCATTTCTCCGTGTATATTTTTCCTTCGAGAACCTGCACTTGCCAGAGTAATGTTGCGTTAGAGCATGCTCTAGACGAGAGTGCCCGACTAGAAAATACCCTGTACCCAGTTCAGCAACATACATTGGATATTTGTCATATTTACACCCTCCTTCTGGAAATTTGAGATTTTCAATATTGAAATGAAAGGCTATGGATAGACAGACGGACGGATGGCTAGAGACGCTTGGCTGCTGATGCTGATTAAGATTATATTAATAGGTACAGGGTATATCAACAACTATATTCAAATTAAAAAAATATAAACCTCTGGTGCTATGTAAGCGGGAGTTCCAACACTACTCGTCATTTTTGAAGCAATTTCTCGTACTGTACCAAAATCACATATTTTCAATGTACGATAATCGTCAAAAAGTAGCAAATTGTTTGGCTTCAAATCGCGGTGGAGAACTATTGGGTTCTGATTATGCAGATACTTAACTGCCTAGAATTGTTAAAGTGTAAGATAGATTTATTATAACAACTTTACTATATCCCCAACAAGTGGGAACGCACCTGGGCGCACTGAAACATCAAATTGTGAAGAGCCAGATATGTCATATTTTTCAATCTGCTTTTCTCATCGTGTAGATAGTAATCGAGGGATCCACAGTCCGCATACTCCATGATAATGTGAAATTCAGAGTCAATCATTGTTTTGCCAAAAAACTCGACAATATTCGCATGTCTAAGGCGCGATAAATTGTCCAACTCCTTATTAAGTTCCGCGTTCTCCTCTGACGTTATAATTAATTTCTTGGCGGCCACTTTCCTGTTTCTCCATTTTGCTTCAAATACCAAACCAAAGCCTCCAGCACCCAATTTCTATATGAGATAGAGTTGAGAATATTTTATTTATTTCATTGTAAATGTTATCTCTTGCTTCCTGATTATCCGAGCAAAAACGAAGTTGATGACCGGCTAATCTCTCTTGTTATTTGTTATAAATGGCGATAAAGAAAACATTGATTAATATGATAAAAAATATAAAAATTGAACTAACAAATAATTAATGACTAATAATAATGGAAATTGCATAATTAAGAGCTATAGAAAAAGCTGAATAGCTCTGTAGTAGGCTCACATTTGTTGTTATGGTAATATCGTTAGCATATATTTCCTTCACACCTGCCATAATTCTCACAATAAAAACTAATATTAATCGCTTTCGAAAAATGGTTGATAACTGAGCAATTTAGCCAAAGATAACAAGAGCGTAGAACAGCAACGTCGCGTAAGAGGCCAGCACGAAAGTAGACTGACTGATGAAAGTTAAACGATCAACATCAATCGATGTTTTGCAAATTATCGATCATGGTCATTGCAAGGGATTGGGAAACGCAACCCTAAAATTTATCGATATATCGTTGCCAATACTGATGTCTCTATTTCCTTCGATCACTGAGACATGCACAAAAAACTGAAGCTGAAAATCGATTATTATCGGTAGTTGGCAATATAACTGTATGGGACTTGAATAGACAGACAGACCTGACTAAACACTCGACTATTAAAGATGATACATTTTATGGGGCCAGAAATGCTTCTTGCTGCTAGTTACAAATTTTTGCAAAACTTCATTAAATGTTCTCACACAGCAGAAACCAATATTAAGCGAGAACATTCTTAAACAAAAGCTTACCCGACTACATAAATGCCCTGTACCCTTCACTTAATATATTATGTTGGTAATAATCATAAAATCTGCATGCCAGAATGCATATAGGGCTTTGACTTTAGAAATGAGCTTCGATTTGTATCGCTATTGGAACTGGAAATGGGACGAGGTATAGAAAAGTTTACGAGATCGACGCATTCATACAGTCGCACAGTCGGATCGTCTGTCACATAGTTTCCATACAAGAACTAAATTTACTAATCGTTGATATGATAAGATTTTTGAGCAGTATTTGTGGAACGGCAAAGCTTGTTATTTCCCCAGTTGTTTCTGATATTCTAAAAAAATAAAAACAAGAATGTTTTATATCAAATTTTGGCCTTTCTTATGGACTTTAACGTGCAACTGGAAAACTACTAAAGCTAGCAAAAATTATTAAACTCTGTTCGAATG